AGTCCCTGTTCAGAGGAGCCTACACTCTTATTTCCCCCTCCCCCCACAGTCACATCAGTCTCTCTACAGAGGAGCTTACACTCTAATGTCCCCTCCCCCCACAGTCCCATCAGTCTCTGTACAGAGGAGCTTACACTCTAATGTCCCCTCCCCCCACAGTCCCATCAGTCTCTGTACAGAGGAGCTTACACTCTAATGTCCCCTCCCCCCACAGTCACAGCAGTCTCTGTACAGAGGGATGTAATTAGGAAATAACAGCTGATCTTAGGTGATGGATTATTTGGGAGGTCTGTAATATTATTCATATTTGAGGATTCTCTTTTTCACATTGGTTTTGTCTTCTGCAGAACATTATTTCATTCAGATGAAGAGAAATCCCCGAAGTGTTTCCTCATTTTTTCACACTGAGTAACATTAGAAGAGGACATCTTGGACTGGCACACAGCAGAGTCATGATGTCTGGTGGTAATAATCTGAGCTCCTCTCATTTCATCCTGATTGGAATTCCGGGGCTGGAAGATGTCCTGGTCTGGATTTCGTTGCCGGTCTTCATCATGTACCTGATCACCTTGTTGGCCAATATTAGTGTTTTGTTTGTCATCAAGTCGGAGGAGAGCCTCCACCAGCCCATGTACCTCTTCCTTTCCATGTTGTTGTTTACAGACCTTGTCCAGTCCAATGCTGCCGTTCCCAACATGCTCCTCATCTTCTGGTTCAACCTCCATGAGATCTCCTTTGAGGGCTGCCTGGTTCAGATGTTCTTCATCCATTCCTTCTCCATCATGGGCTCTACTATCCTCTTGGCGATGGCCTTTGATCGCTATGTAGCCATATGCCAACCACTGAGATATTCCGCCATCCTGACCTACCCATTAATCACAGAAATTGGAGTCTTGGTGGCCATGGGAGGAACTCTCCTGGTTTTTCCACACCCGTTCCTGGTCAGGAGGTTGCCATTTTGCAAGAGCCACGTGATTGATCATAGTTATTGTGAACACATTGCTGTGGCCAAACTGTCCTGCGCAGACATCAGAGTTAATGTTGTGTACGGGTTAGCAGTTGCTGTGCTTGTGGTTGGAGTTGATGTCGCAGGTATTACAGTGTCCTATGCGATGATTATAAACGCCATCTTCAATCTATCATCTAAAGAGGCCAGGCACAAGGTCAGGAGCACATGTGTCAGCCATGTTTGTGTCATTCTTTTGGCTTACATCCCGGCACTTTTCTCCTTTGTCACTCAAAGGTTTGGGGAGCGCACGGCTTCTTCCACGCAGATTATCCTCTCTAACCTTTACCTGATAGTCCCTCCAATGCTAAATCCAATCATATATGGAATGAAAACCAAAGAGATCCAGAGAAACGTTCTCAAATTATTCTTTCCACAAAAGTCCAGAAATTTCGGACATAACTGGCTGAAGTTACATAGGCAAAAGAAAGGTCACATGCAGATAAATACGGCAACCAACCACCTTTCATCTGCTGAGCAGAGTCAGTGCAATGGGAAATAGTTTTTGGTTAGTTGTGTAATATTCGGGGCGGACATGACCCGTAGCCGGCCAGAAAATTAACTTTTATTCTTTTCCACAAACAGTCAAAGTAAATGGCTTATATTCAGCAAATACAAGATTCGGCTCAGCGCCTGTATACTAAGTCCCACCTCAGGGTCAGAGTCCCAGCCTCAGGGTCAGAGTTCCAGCCTCAGGGTCAGAGTCCCAGCCTCAGGGTCAGAGTCCCAGCCTCAGGGTCAGAGTCCCAGCCTGCTCACAGAGTAGGGTTGCCACCTTTTCTTCCAGCAAAACCCGAACACTCTGGCGATGCATGGACATTTTTTGGGGGAGAATGAATCGCAGCTTATTCATATGTAAATATCACAGTTGAGACTATTTTCAGTGGGGGGCCAGTGGCCTCTATATTAACTTTAGTTGCCCCTGTCTGCCTGACATCTTGTGTCCGGGTTTATGCTGCCATGAAACCCAGACACAGCATTCAAAACCCGGACTGTCCGGGTGAATCCTGGACAGGTGGCAACCCTATCACAGAGGGTTCCAGTATGGACGCAGGTGCCCCAGCAGTGTCTCGGTAGACTCTATCCCACAGCTTAACACACACAGCCACGTGTCCTGCTCCAAACACTCCACACAGACCCAGACTGACTGGTTTCCTGTTCCCTCTGGCTGGTGGTTTAACCCTTTTATTACCAGAACTGGCTGTAGTCAGGGATGGAGGCTCTGAATACAAGGTGACCTCAACGGGACCACCACCTAAACAATATACCATCCATCCGGGACCCATTCCTGGCGTCCTGTACAGTTGCTGATGGTCTGAACAATTTAAAATGTGGTGGGAGGTATGTTACCTCAGGCACATTCTGGGCCACCTCCAGCTAGTTGTATATCTTTGACACCCAGTAGTCCATTGGAATAAAGGCTTGTAAGTGTTCTATACAGTCTTGCCGTGATTGCTTTACCAGAGCCTGGAAACCTCAGAAGGGGAAAAAAAAAATCCAAAATCTGAAAAACTGAACAGTATTTAAAAAAAAGTAAATATATAAATAATGTTTTACAAAAAGACATGAAAAACAGTCCTGGTGGGTGATAAAATGTCAATGGGGGACTGTCCAGGTCATGAACTAGAAGGAGGAGGTGTTTTTTCCGGCTGGTACAGAAGCCGTTGAAGTGCAAAGCTGGCACAGAGGTTCTGGACATGAAAAGGTATTTGGCTACATGTTTCTTCCAGTCCAGCAAGAACCTGGCATGGGTGGGTGTCGGTGAGGGCTCCTTTGAGTTTCAAGGTTTCACTCTGGGACAGAGCAGGCAGCTTATTGCCGTAGGATTGTATACTTAAGTTTTGCTGGCGCTTGCTCTTCCCTTCTTGTCCCTGGAGAAAAATCAAGAGGAAAATGAGAAACTTCACAGACAAGAGGAAAAGCTCAACCAGGCCCGAAGGGGGCTTTGAAATTAATCTCCCACCAAAAGTGATGGCTCTATGCAGGGGCGTAACTAGAAATCACAGGGCCCCATAGCAAAATTTTGTATGGGGCCCCCGTGATTGCTAGTTATGCCACTTGCAGAGCCCAGCATAGACTCTCTATGGTGGGCTCTGCAAGGCCTCAGTTGGGCTTGCACGCCTCTTACCTGTCAGCGTTGTCCACCTCCGTGGTCGCCGCCGCCAGGCCCCCACCTCCTTTTCCGTCCCTGGGCTCTGCCTCCTTCTATCGATGGGCCCCGCCTCCTCTTACATCACTGGCCCCCACCTGCTCTTAGATCGCTGGCCAGTTATGTGACATGAGGCGGGGTTGCTGTTAGGCGGGCCCCGCCTCCTTCTTTACTGCAAACGCCGGTGTAACTATTTTTGCACTCCGGCCCCTAAGGCCTGTCAGCGTGGTGCACTGGCACTTATTATTTATTTATTGCACCATATGCACGATTGGCACTTTTTGATTGAAATTTTACCCACAGATTTTACCCCTATTCTGCCGCATCTGCTGGCTGTCACTGACACAATGGGGGAACGTTCTCCCTCACAGCTGCTGCTGAGGTATGTCAGTGACAGCCAGCACCCGAGCTGCCATAGCGACCCAGGCGGCCCTGTGCCCGGGCCCCATAGCGGGCGCCTTGGTCGCTATGGCGATTGTTACGCCACTGGCTCTATCAATTCCAATTGGGTCCCTCTTCTCAGTTGCCAGCATTTGTACCCAGTTGCCTTGCCGTCCATGCCTGTATTGGCTTGAGTTGGAAATTTGATGGGCCTACAAGGCAAAAAATATACAAAAATATACAAAATACTAATAAAAAGCTTGTAAATATGTAAATAAAATTTTTTTTTTTTTTTTTTTTATTCCAATTTGGGTTCCTACCCATGTTTGCCTTCCCTTGGCAGGGATGTCCTTACAAAGGATTAAAGGGTAAATATTAAAAATAGTAAAAGATAAAGAAGTGATGGGGGGTGTAGATCTCTTCACGCGGCACCACCCAGGTCAGGAATTTTGCACTAAATATGGGAGGAGTTGCCGTGATCCCATGTATGAGGCCACGCAGTGTGTACTGTAAGAGGAACGCAAGAGGCAATGTGTCTCTAATCTCTGCCTCACTGCAGCATTTCACAGCCCGGTACAGGCTTTCCGACTGAACAAATGCTAAGCTTGGTCTGGCTAGAGGGTTGGGAGGCGGCAGAAGCCCGTGGTGTTGTGCCCCCTGGGGGTGGCGTTTCAGGGGTGCATCAGAAAATCACTAGGGTGTGGGACCCCATAAGTGATTCACTGTGCACTTGGAAACGACACCATATTGCAATTTTCTGCACATCTCCTCCGAGACAGGCCTTATGTCTAGTCTGGGGCAATATTTTTGCACTCCGGCCCCTAAGGCCTGTCAGCGTGGTGCACTGGCACTTATTATTTATTTATTGCACCATATGCACGATTGGCACTTTTTGATTGAAATTTTACCCACAGATTGTGGAGGGTGTAGGTTCCTTCGGGGCCTTTTCCCGATGTGGGGAGGAGATTCTGTGCCCTAATATAGGGTTCTCTGTCTCCTCCCAACACGGGGGGTCTCTCTTCGGGAGAGCCCCCCACCTAGTACTGTGAGGGACCTGTTCCGGCTGGCCCCTAAAGGATCGGGGGCCTTCGGGTTGGTGGACCAACAGACTCAACCCCTGTCAGGAGCCTTGCGCCCCGGAGGGTCGGGAAAGTAGGTCCCTTCTTTATTGAAGGACCAAGCACCCTTGTGCACGTTTTTGTGTGCTGTGATCTCACTGGTTCACTTTTTTTGTGCACAGGGGTTTGTTATCGATGCACGCTCCACGGGCTTAAAAAAAAACAAAAAACCTGTTCAAAAGGGGCCAAAATGGTGCAGGCATTCCAGATGGTAAGCAGCTGGCATCGTAAAATTTCCTCAGAGCTTCTCCCGACTCCATTATCGCATAGACAGAGTAGAAGGTGAATTCGGAAGGGAAGGAGGAGTGGAGGGAGGTGGAGGAGGAAGAGGCCATTCAGGAGGAGGTCACAATTTATTCCTGTCCCATTGTACTTGCCAGACCGTATTCCCATGGTAATATAATGATTTAATCTAATGTTGCAGTAGCGTGCTGGACTTACCTGAGACCCTGCAGAGCACACCATAGATCCTGCATAGCCCACCTGAGACTCTCTATGGTGGGCTCTGCAGGGTCCCAGGTGGGCTGATCATTGGGGTCCATTTCTCTGTACCTCCTCCCAACTCTTCTTGCCTGCTGCTGCTGGGGCCCGGCCTCCTCCACCCTCTCTCGTCACCTCTGCCATGCTGCATTGACCATTTTGACATAGATGGAGGAAATAGCCAAGTATATGTTACTGTCAGGAACCAGATCTGAACCCGGGGCCTCTGCTGTAGCTGGCGGTGGTTCTACCTGCTGAGCCACCTTAGAACCTTGGATAGCTCTTTGCCTGCTCTCCTGTGTAATCCTCAGGTAATCCTAGTTTCTGCTGAACTCTGAACTCCTTGCTCCTCCCTTCAACTTCCTATTTAAGACACGCCTCTGCACTTCCTGTTTGCCAGATTATTGTGCTCCTGCCAATATCTCGCTTCCTGGTCCTTCTGTGGTATAATCCTCTCATACTGCTACCCGTGTACCGACCTTTGGCTGATGATTCACCGACTACTCTCATCATCTTCTGATTCATACCTGATACCTTTGGCTACTGAACTTGGTTTGATCGCTGACTACGCTTCTGCCTGCTCCTCCACTACTACCGTCTGCTTGGTTACCCAACCCGGCCTGTTTCACCATGAATCTGCCTACTGCTTCAGCTACTGGACTCTGAACCTGATCCCAGATCGTGACAGTTACCATGTGTGGCTGTTGATATTCCATTCCCAAAGACTTGTATAGAGTGTCCCATAAGTTTATTCTGAAATTCACAGTTGTATAGCCTTAAAACCTCTATATATAGGATAGATTATAGGGCATCCACTTTATTACTCCCTATGGCTGGGTACAATAGTATTATGATGGGGGGCCCTCACAACATTTGGCTTCCCAGCCATCTGCAGGCCGGACAATGAAAGGGGGACAGAGTTTGATTTTGTACATTTATTCTGCCTGTGATGTCCTGGCAGCAGGTTGGTCAAAGTTCTTCAAGCTTCTTTATCTTCCTTGCTGTGGAATGGTAGGTAGTAACATTTTTCCATATAATACTTGTAGTCTAAGAAGGTGTTCAACATTTTGAATACCTGCTGCAGATTTCAGAGTTTTATCTAAGCGAAGAAGAAATCTGAGCAATGACTGTGTAGGTGAAGGAGCAGAATGTGACCATTATGTTTTCAGGCCAGTCAGAGATTTATTTACTCGTATGAGTCCTTCAATATGGGGGAGAACGGTTACTGAGCAATGAAAGTACATATTTTACATCATTCTACCTGCCCTTATGGGACTGAACAAAATTACAGTGGAGGGAAATGTCCTGAAAACTCACCAGGGCTCATCAATGAACAGTGGTTGTTATAGAATTGGAAACGGTGATGTCTTAGGTGTATAACATCTACACATAGAATAGGTTAGCCCATAGGGCCCCCTCCTCATTAACATGTATGGCTGGGTACCATTGTATTATGACGGGGGCTCCTTAAAGCCCCATTTGGCTGTAAATACTTCTCAGCTCTATGAAGGCTGATGTAAGATGGTTATTATGGGGTTGGGAAGGGTGATGGGGTTGGGTCCAAGATGTATAACAGGGAGTCCATACTCATGGTATGTATGGCTGAGGCCTGGGCACTACAGGTTGTATGAAGTGGTACCTTGTCTATACAAGTGAATCCGCTGTCCGTTCATTCATCGGCCCTGTACAAGTGACGTCCATTACAGTACATTACAGTCCCAGCAACGTGTCATGTCCTTGGTTAGTCTTCTCTTCTAGCAAGTGATTGAAACCTTCGTATAGCCGGAGGCCTGCGTGGGTGATGGCTATCTCCCGGACCCTCAGATTTATAAAGTTAGGCCTGGAATCAAGCCACCGGCATAAGGGTAAGGCTTGCATGACTGGGTGAGGGGGTCGTTTTTGGCAGGAAAGAGGCAAAGGTCGGCAGTGCATTGTATCAGGAGGGATGGCACTTACCTGATTGGTTGATAAAAGCCAGAAAGATAGGAGCCCAAAGTGATGGTGATGAGGAGCTGAACCTTGGGTCTCTGTCATTTTGGGGTTGTGTTATAGCACCTTTGTGCCTGGGTAATGTTGTGAACGCTAAGCTTCTCTCTCCATTTGGATGAACCTCTCTCTTTCTTGAAAGTCTTAAATGTTGTGATTTGAGGGCATCTGAAAAACTGTGCTGCCTAATAAAGCATTCAGGGAGCCACAGCGATCACCAGATGCTTCTGCATCAATGTCTGACTGCAGAGTTGTTGTTTTCCTTCATATTGTAATTGCAATGAACACAATAACATGAAGATGTCTTAATCATTGTGCGGATTACTGTCACTTGACTTCCAGAATTTTCTGTTAGCCAGGCGCTGTGTAATGACGTGACGCACGGCTTTCTGATTGGTCGGGAAGCCGGCTTCATGCTCCCTCATCACCTCATGAAGAAGGAGAATGGAACCGGCTTCCCAGCCAATCAGGAAGCTGGGTGCCGCGTCATTACACAGCAGCCGATAATACGAAATCACCTGCACGCCATACAGCGTACAGACCGTGGATGAGAG